TTTAGGTAGGTAGGGATTTAAAAATGGGAAGATTTTTACTTCATCAGTTATGGACTCCTGACTTCATGTAACCAATGTGCAATTCATTTCAGCATGAAATAACTTTATTTATTATATAAACACCAATGAAATACCATTAACTTTAGGAAAAAGGGATATCTTCACATTGAAAATAAATGTTATCTTCACATGGGTTGCTATTTAATAAATCGCGCCTTTCACACCAAAAAACTATTAAAGTGAAATGGTTTGGTATTTCATTGGTGTTTATATAATAAATAGAACATTACATGGCCGCTTGGAGATACGAAATTTCTCTTCTCGCTTGAAAAAATATTTCACTCGTTCGCCGCGCTCACCCGTGAAATATTTTTCAACACTCGAAGAGAAATTTCGTATCTCCGCGCGGCCATGTAATATCCTCTATAAGGTAAATGTATAAACAGAAAGTCACTAAGTTGGGATCGCGAAAATTACAATTTCCCCAAAGTTACGTTTACTAAGATGGGGTTTATGTTTGGCCACAGAATAGACTATAATGGAGCAGTGACTCTAAGAGGCCAGCGGCACATACCCAGCAAAAATTAACCCACGCAGCCCCCCCCCCCCACGGGCTCCAACTTTGGGTACTGGCGAGCCTTCATCTCCGAGAAGACCTCCTGAGTTGTCACTGAGATTGAACTTCTAACTAATGAAAATAAGAGCAGATGACATGTAGTTTTTGTGTCCGTTTTTCGGGTATCTATGCTACCTCTGTTCCGAGCAGTATTTGAAAGTGACAGTAGTTGCAGCTGTAGCCACAAGAAAACAAACATTCTTTGTATTCAAGGTCGGGGACTTGGTCTTTAGCGCGAAGAGAATAAAATTCACCCTCGTTTAATATTACGTCCAATTCGATATTAAAGCATACTGGTATGATTGCTAATTTTATCACAGGTTTTGTCACCAAAAATAATGTGTTGAGGAAAATACACTTCTACGCGCAATTTGTCGGTAATTAAGACACGAAACTTTAAAATTTTCAAGGACTCGTAATACCGGTATTAATCTGGAATTGGGTTTGTGTTCTTGACCATGTAGCTTTTGAGGAGTCACGCGTTTTCTATCCTATCTACTCACGCCATTTGCTATTCTGTGTATTTCAGTTAATGCTTTCTTACTTAAAGAATTATGGTAGTCTGATCAACAGAAGTATAGTAATTTAGTTTGCTGGTGGATTAGGTAGAGACAACTAGACGTGACTGAGGACGCACACGTTGAAAAGTTTCGATGCTAAATCTAGGCGAACTTGTTGACCGCTAGGCGTGATAAACCTTTAGAGTGATAGGTTTACTTTCCCGTCACGTTTTGAACACAGCCGCGCGCCGTCTCAAGTAAAACGCTCCGTACAGCTGTACGTTGGAAAAAGGAGAAACAAAATTGTCGAAAGTGCCTAACTTGGATAAGGAAGTTAATACACTAAACACTTTCCCATCAACAACATTTTGAGTTGAGACTGAACCACAGGTGTACGCGTTTTCCTCCTCTCCTCTTGATTTTCCGCGCCAAATGTGGGCGCGCGTGTCATCATTGGAGTGTTTTCATTTATTTTTAAGTCACATTATTCTGACCACAGCCGGGCCTCACGTTGTCTCCATGTAAAACGTCCTTTTGGGAAAAGGAGTTATGAAAAGTCGATCGTGACTTTCTGTGGTAAGGAAGCTTAGTTATACACTTTCCTACCAGCTAAGTAGAATTTTGTAATCAGACCGAGCCACAAGTTAAGCGTTTTGCTCTGACTAGTAATATCATCCTGCCTTGTTTACCGACCGAGTCTATCAATGGGTGAGCTCGTAAATCTGGGCACGCGTATTGAATTCTTGGCTTGATGGGAGTGTTTCCATTTATTATAACGTGACTTTTTGATCACAGCCTCGCGTCCTTTCTAGTAAAACGCCCTGTTGGAAAAAGGAGGCATGAAACAGTCGAACGTGACAAGGAATTTATAATTTTAAACTTAAGACAGTTTTAAAGGTTACATCTGTTTTGCCGTTGATTAGTTTTTGGTCTAGTGGTGCTTTCTAAACTGAAATTCGGATTTCATGCACAAAATGCCGTGATGTCAGTAAATGATCGATCGAAGCGGTTCAAAGCTTCAACTAAATTTCTTCACTACAATGTTATCTGAGATCTCTCATTAACCTAAGGGCTAAGGGCCTGCCCCTGCCCCATATCTAGCTGCACAATTAACTCTCTCGGCCACTTTTACAAAGATACATAAGACATGGAAATCTCCGCCCTAAATGGACACCCATAGTTGTTCCCTGCTGCTATTTACTATAGTCTGCGGATATCACACTACTAGATCTAGATCTGAGAAATATGTTTGAACTAAATAACTGAAATGCAAGCGCCGGCGGTCAAGGGGAAGTGAGCGTATTTATCGTTGGTGCCCACCTCAACATCTGCTTATAGTATCCTTGTTACACTTGAGGCGGTACGTCCACAAAGACTTATACAATATAAGCTGTTCTATAAATTGTCTCAAGATCTCCAGAGATTGATTGACTGATAACTATTTTCACGGACAACATCTTTTTCCGTGACACACCTTCCACTCAAACGCAAACGCCCACATGCTTTTACGTTTTTTTTGTTAAGTGATTCTTCCTGATCAAAGTTGTTCATGATCAGGTCGTCTTGAGTTAAGAATATGTTATTTTATATATTTGGGATTGTAATCGCAATTTTAACTACGATTTAAAATTCGTTGGTGTCATTTGAGCTCTATTGATATGAGTCATACCTGAAGATCCAATATGCCCATATATGGTAGCAAACTTCAAGAATCCCATTTCTGTAATCTCCGTTGTAATTTCCCAAAATTTTAAACGATCCGCGTGCACAAAAGATGACGGCATAATAATATTAACAATAATAATGATAATGACAATAATAAGTAAGTTTTGTTTTCTGAAGAAAATTGCCTGTATAAGTCTGTGAGGTGTTTGCATAAAACTATGAATTTTATTAAGAAAGATTTTTGGAAAGTATTTCAGTTTTGATTGTTCAGAAACCAGTGTTGACCGCGTGTTTTACAAATACCGCGACTTTTATATCAATAAAGACTTTTCTAATTTCTGTTTCTCTTATTCAATTCCTACTGATTATAATATTTAGATATTTGTTATATAAGTTAAAACATTTTTGAAAGTGGTGAAGAATTTACTTGGTCGAGTTGAACGGCTGCTTAAAAAGGACCATATATGGACTTAAGTTGTTTATCTTCCGTTAACTTTGTGTATGTTTTGCAGTTAACACCCACTCGGCCCTCTGTAGGGTAATGCCATACTTTCAAAGTTGCATCATTTAAATTTTCTCAAAATGTCAGTCAACCGTTTCAATTTACTCAGTAAATTGCCAAACGGGCGGCAGCCCTTTGGGAGAATACTCCGAGGATAGAAAACAAAATCCAGTCTACCAAAGATCGAAAGAGCTACGGACCACATACAATGAAACCTTGATATAACGAAGGGGAAAAGGACAGGCAAAATGTATTCGCTATAATTAGGTTTCGTTATATCAAGGTTCTTTTTCATACATTTTACTAATACTGGGGTAAAAAAAATCGTTCGTTACACTGAGCACTTCGTTTCAGTGTACTCTTAAAAAAAATTAATTAAGAAAGAGGGTAGCATACATTTCTGTAAGAAATACCATTATCCAGCCGAGAGAACTGCAATTTTTCAACCTCTTTAGAAATCCCCACACAAAGTACCAGTTTGCTTTTACTCCCTGCTAAAATCACACCAAACTAAAACAGACGACTTCATAAAACCGAGCAAATGTCAAATGCGCGGATAGCAAATCGTGCTGTAATTCTAGGCTCTCAAAGTAGGTAAAAACTAATCATGTACGTAAAGAGGCTCTTGACCTCATGATAAGGTCAGTTTCTTCATTTTCCTGTTTCACTATCTTAAACGTTCCTGCCCACGTATGACCCTCTAAACGTTTCCTCTGAGGCTTTCCGCGGTGGTTTTTATGCGTCAAGTGCATTTTGTTGTTTTTAAGTAGCTAGAATTACTGAGGAAGCTGCATCCTCTAAATCATTGTCAATTTGCTATTTTAAGGCCAAGTGAAAAAAAAAAATAAAAACAATAAAAACAATAACAACAACAACAACGACAACAAAAAACAAATGTTCCCCGTTCCAGCCCGTTTTATTTTTGGGGCCCGCCTCTCTTTTTTATGACCTGTTATCAAAAAAGTTGAAACGAAGAAAAAAGAAAAAAATAGGGGTCACTTTCAACACCAACTATTCTACAATCCTGTCTAACAGCGATACTTTTCATGAGTCCTATATTGACATTTTTTATGTAAACAGCAGTTAGATGATTATTCTCTCTTGAGCCTGCCTATTGGGATATATCGTATGACGCATCACATTGTATCAGGAGCCCATGCGCTCCTGGTTGTATACATGTTTTAAAAAATGTGTCAAAGTATATATAAATAACTCCAAGTTATCCCTGGGAAAGGGTAATAATTTGTAACCAAAGAATTCAATAGGCAAGAGTAAAAAAGTCGGAAGAAACAACAAAAAAGCGCCCAACGACTCTCTTTTTTTTTGTAGAAATCCGGACGAGAAACATTTGTTTTGTTTTTACTTGTCCTTAGGTTTAGAGATTTATGTGAGCGCGCAATTTTTCACCGGGAAATAAACACACGCACTGGCTGTATAATGAGCGAGGGGGAGCGTGAATCTTGTTTTTCTTACTTAAGAAGTCTCTACTTTCCATGGATTGAATATTCAAAATTTGATTACGGGTATGCTTTGTTGCTAAGAAAAAATTCCCGACTCTCCCGACTCTTAAAAACGACTGGCCGAGTTGGACCTGGGACTAAAATATGATCAGTGGTATCCAGTCTTTCGCTGACACACCGCTGACGGCTGTTTATGATGTTCAACCAATGAGATTTCACCGCGTAGAAAAACCTAAATGGCGGCAAAACAGTGAGAATTTCCTGTCTGACAGTTGTTTACGTGTGTATAAATTTTACCCGGGTTCCGTCAATATTTGGGAGGACACACGCGGCTCACGCCGATAAATTATAAAGGACGCCGAGTAAATATGCAGTTCGACGTTCGAAGGTGAGGTTTTGCATAGCACCCTTGTATAGATACAGCAATTCGGAATTGTTTGCAAAGGTTTTGTCCAAATTTCTCACCAAAATAAACCGAGCCACGTGTCAAAACACACCGGTTTGTCGCTTGAACGCGCTTAATTCCTTACCACTTTTCAAGTTTTTGGTAAGGAAGTGTTCAAATGCCATGCTTGCAACACGTGGGTTTCGTGTTAAAATTTACTCACTGCCTCTCAAGTAGTCAGTTTGCAGCTAAAATTTAGTTGCTAGGCTGTTTTGGCAAGCTTAACTGATGAACTTTTTTCAGCTGCTACAATGTACATACAATTCAAGGATTGGCGCTTTTATGAGGGATAAATTAAATTTCTTATTATAGTTAAATATTACTGTATATAATGCACTGGTGTTTTGCATCTGCCTGGTAATTTTTATAGCCTCACGAAATAAACTCTAAAAATAAACAATGGGTGTAGCGCCGTCTGACATTTTAGGGAAATAGTACAAGTTTAATTGCTATTAATATTTCAACAATTCTTTAATTGCAGAACTAGTGAGATTTAAAATACAGTAAACTCTCGCCTACCGGACACCCTGATAATACGGACAGCAGATAAATTCCAGGCAAAAAGAAACTGCAGACGTTTGTCTGATATAGACTCTCACTATTATGGACTCTCGCTTAGTAATGAGGCACTAACTCGAGGTCCCTACAGTGTCCCGTTGTAAAGGGAATTGACTGTATTGGGCCACCTATGACTCCTATTTACTTTATCTTCATCTTGTAGAATGAAAAGAAGCATTTGTAAAACAAAATTAGCCATCTTTCTCTTTCTCTTTTGTTAAAAGTTGAGCTTTGTTGTGGTCATGTAAGGGTTTTCCTTTTTTTTTAGATTTGATGTTTACAGAAAAGTGCCAAAGGACTTAACAGAACCCACTTTAACAGGAGCAGTTAGTAAGTGGTGTATCATCTTAGATGCGAAGAAAATAGTGTGTCTTACATGTAGCAAGTTTTAAGATAATTTTTCAAAACATCACAAGGGGCGCTTTCCATTCAACCCAAAAGTCCGGAAATTTCGGTTGGTTCATCAAATGGAACGGACCATTTCGGTTTGGTCCGACCGGAATATTCGGGACCAGCTTTGAAGGTGGTCCACTGTGACCGGTCTGGTCATTTCGGTCGGTCGGACCGAAATGTCGCTTTCCATTTGCCAAAATTGTTGTCCCCAGTACCGCTCTTTTCTATCCTGCTTACAAGAACAAGTAGTTTCCAGTGGAAAGTGAAGTGCTGTGAGTAAAGCATGACATCTCAAATAGTTTGAATCAGTTGCAATTTTTTTCGATTTTTGATATTTGCCATTAACAGTGTCAAATAACTGACGCCACACGACATGTAGGTGAAAACAAGTGTGTGTAATCAAGCTACAATTGTATGAAAGTCCGTGAGAATCATATTATTATTGGTCTGAAACCTGTCGACGATATTTAACTAAAGCAATTTGTCAGTTAAGCTGAAATGAATACAACAAAGCCTGGCTGAATACAAATTGGCCAAAACAACGAATTTATTTACCGTACAGTTCCAGGAATTGCTTCGAATCGTTCGAATATTCTGAGGAACGTATCGCTTTGATTCACAATAATTTTTTACCTTCACTTGCATTCATAGGCTTTCTACATGAAACAGGATTCCTCCGCCTTTAGTTTTCCACCGCCCCTTTTCGACAGTCGAGTGTTCTTTACTTTTCACTTTTAGAGCGTAATTATGAGTGTGCTGCGAAGCCACAATAACAAAACGTGTGGTGGCAATGCATCGGGTCTGTGCAACCGGAATGTACCGTTCCATTGAGCACGCGAAATTTCCGAAATTTCAAACCGGAATTTTTGTTGAATGGAAAGCGCCCAAGAAATTTAAGGTGATCAAAAAGTAGAGAAAGTTTTAAGTTTTAAAGTGTCATCAGCTACAGCGAGGAGCAGCAGAGTGCTTACATTTGTCTGAATCTTACCTTGAAGTTCCTAGAAAGAAGGAAAAATTGAGTTTAGGGTAGTTCCCTTGTTTTGCACTGTGCATCACCTAGTGCGCATACTATTGCGACTTCAAAGTTAGCGGTGATTTTGACTGGTTCCCTAAAAAGAGGTCATTATGGTTCCTTTTGTAGTCCTAATGCTTTTAATAACGATTTTTATAATTCTACCTGGCTAAAAAGGTGTTTGTCTTGAAACTCGCCGCAGTCCCCTTGTGCAAAATGATCATTTGAAGCCGAAATTGTCCCTTTGTTGTCGTTCTACCAGGAAACAAAAACTGTGACCCCCTTTTTAATTTGTGTTTCACACTCGCTATGGCTACACAAAATAATGTATTAAGGCGAAAAAAATCTG